CATACACATACACATACACATACACATACACATACACATACACATACACATACACATACACATACACATACACATACACATACACATACACGCACACACCAACAGAGTTAGCCGATTATATAAGTAGGATAAAGCGCTCGCGTCTGTATGTCTGTTACGAAATTCGATACTACCTGAGGGAACACCTGGAGAGGTGGGGAGTAAAGCGAAATGGATTGAGCATAGGGCAGGACCAACAGAGCACACGTGAGCTCAGCGGAACTCCGCCCGCAGGGGGTGGGACATGCACAGGAGAGAAGTGTCTTGGGGAAATCTTTCTCATTCGGTCTTCTAACAATCCAGAGACGCCGTGACAAGATGAGCAAAGGTGAGAAATGGGCCAACAAATCAAATGAAGGAGACTCACCGGTGGTGAGTGAAGCGTTCTCGCATTGGGCGATACTTCCCACATAAGTTCATAACTCTATTCTCAGCAAAGGTGTGGAGGCCAGAGAGAAGAAAAGGAGTGAGTAAAGCCTTATGCGTGCTGAGCATGCGTAAACTTAGCGACCGCCCACGATGGGCGGGGCGTGCGTTGAAACGAAGCTACTTTTCAAAAACGCGGGAAAGAAGAAGTAAGATGTACTAGAACATATTTGGTCAAATCTTAAAAGTGGGCGGGGCTGGCGCTAAAGTGGGCGGACCGTAGCTCAAAAAAAAATGACTCTTCAGAATGTTCTGGATGAGGAAAGAAAGTGGTAATATGTAATAGAACAAATGTGGTCAAATCCTAGAAGTGGGCGAGCTTACATCAAAAATTTTTAACTCTATTCAGAAAGTTCTGGAATGCAGAAAAAGGTTGTTTAGAAGTTTCAAAGCAATTGTGGTCGAACCCTCAAAGTGGGCTGAGTTTGCACTGAAGTGCGCGGAGCTTAGAACAAGAGTTTATAGCTCTAATCAGAAACGTTTTAGAATACGGGAAAAATGTAGTTCGAGGTTATGAAACAAATGTGATCAAGTCCCCGGAGTGGGTGGAGTTGGCAAGGCCAAAAATCCATAACTGCTCAAAAACTCTCTAGAATGCGGAGAAAATTGTCAGGAGCAGTTAAAATGATGGTAACCAACTTTTTATAGTTAGACGGGTCTCACAGGAGATCTATTCAGAGGAGAGTTTTCCTTGTTTTTCACTGGCTTTGTAAAGTCTTTGTCCGAAATGGGCTTGAGAAGCTTTTAGGAGAGATATTACATCATTCACTCGGTCGAAACGCTTTTCAATAGTATATCACCAGCGAAATGTTCTTTCCGAAGGTGATGACATCATATTGATAGATTTTATTCCTGCTTCATAACGTGAGCACAACCTAGGAAATAACGGATTGTAGTGAAGAGCTTTTCGTGTATGCTTTTTGTTGTTATGTACGACAACCGCATTATCACTGCGAGGCGGATGAATCCGTGAAAGGCGATTACAATGATCTTCCATGGTAATTTGATGGTAACGACGGACCAATCAAATTTCAAGAGGGACCCCCGTGATTTTTTGGGCTTATAGAAGCATAGCATCAAAAAGAAAGTTAGTTGCAGACCTTGTAATTTTACACGTGGGCTTCGATTTTTTGATGTAGGTGGAAGGGTCCATAGTCTCCCCTCGTTCAGTGCCAGCAAAAGCCGTACCCCTCATGCATGGAAAGCAAGTTTAATATCATCACGACCGAATAGCACAGGAAAGTTAAGGGGGAATGAGAAATACAATGAGCTTTCAAACTAGTCTATTTTGGCAAGTTATGTTGTCTTATGTAATTGTGACTATTAGTTGCATAACGACCAATTTGTGTTTTGAGGATTAGTTAAGAAGTCGAAAGAAAAATTATTCTGGATTAAGTATTGGCATCGCATTTAACGACAGCGATTCCCATCGGACGACGTCGGAAATCACCGATGTGAACTCCATGGGGAACAAATCCAAAGCATGCTATAGGTGGAATTAGAGTTTCGAGCCGACCTGTGGTATCGTGGTGCCCCACCAAGTTTATCTATGTGTACTCAAATTGATCACCTATTGTTGCAACAGTATTTTTTAGAAATGTCAGTTGACTTGCGCCACCATATTTCCGGTTTTGAAAAATGCGACATTCCGGAAGCATTACGAGTACATTATTTAGAGGGCTCTTTTCAGATAGTCATTCGACCGTCCTCTGTCGAGAGTACATGGAGCTGCCAAAATTTTCAACTCCATATTGGGTATTCGGGTAGAAGGGCTTCTCAATTCGGTTTTACAACATTGCTGGCTACTCGGCCGTGTGTGGGTACATTCATCAATTCTATATGGACGCGGCGGAATTCGCGGTGATTCAAAACGACTCTGGCGACTATCATTGGGGCACAGGTTTCAACTAGATCGGGTAAGTAGAGCCTGCTGATGTTACTTATCGACTCTTCTTCCAAATTGTGCCCCAGTGACAGGCGGCGGAGTCGTCTATATCGCTACGGATTCCGCCGCGCAGTTTGCCGCGTTCGTAAAGGATTAGGTGAGTGTTCCGTCCCTCGGTTCAGCCATATGCTCAACACAATTGTAATAATATTGAGGGAAGCGGTTCCATAACGTTTCACAGATTCGTAACACAGATTTGAGATTAGCGTTTGAAAGCATCTAGGCCGGACATCTCATCTTGAATGACCAGTGCGACCACGTATCCTTCCCTTGCGATTCCTTCCACTTTCCTGCCTACCCTAGCTGACACGGATGGCTGCGTTTTCAACCATCGCTAACCGTTTTTCCGTTTTCCCCGGCTTCTGGAACATTTCAAACAGAACTGTGGGTCTAAATTTGGGCACCACTCTCCGCACGTTCCGCCCACTGTGATAAATTTTCCAGACTATAAGGACGTTTTTGAACTGCCCTGCATTTTTTCTACTGAACATCTTCCACTCAAAAGAAATTGAGCAGTGATGATTTGCTGCACTTGAGACATAGTTACATCATCCACTATAGACTTTCACTCTTACTAACAGCTTTGAAGCGTAGTGCATTTTTTGCGTAAGGCTCGTTTCCTGCACACCTTTCACACCGTAAGCGGAGCACCGTTCATGTTCCATTTCAGGACATGAATATAGTTACGACCTGTTTGGCTAATTGTATACTACATCACGTTATTCGAATTCTCTTCAGTATACGCTGAAGTTTGTTTTGTTTTAAAAAAAGCACAACTTTCGTGGACGAATTTCTTGCTACAAAGTGGCCAGCGACTCGCACTATTGAGACAGCAGCGTTGCACGTCGCGTGCATTGTGCGAGGTGTCCCTGCTGTAATTTTCGGAAGTAGGAATGATAAAAGAACATAACCGGAGGTGGGAATGTTGAGTGAGAGAAAGTGTTATGTTGCTATGGAGAAGGAGGTTTGTCATGCTAAAGAGACATTTGTCTTCGGGGCAACGTGCAAGAACTTTATAATGCATGCTCTACAATTGTCTCCAGCTAAGACCATTCTTCCTCGTCCTCTTTCAGCCCCGAGCATGATGTGTTTTAAATTGCTTTTAAATTGCTTTTTCCAGTTCCATTATACTTGCTGCTGGTGATGATGGCCGGCCTGCAGTGAGCATTACCGCAGTAGTAGATCCGTTATCACGAAGTGCTCAGAAGCTTTCGACTATTCTACCAGTTCTACGCAAAAGCATCAATTGTGACGTGAAAATAGTACTTAACCCGAAATCGAAGCTCAGTGAAGTGCCTTTGAAGAGGTTCGCACAACTGCTTTTTGTAAACCTTTTTCCTGTTGGTAATGATTCATATTATATATGCCTCTAGAGCTTGCTCAAGTAGAGTGTTGTAGTGCAGATAATGCAAAAAGCGAGTTTTTTTAAGCTTCTATCGTTACGTTGCAAAGCCTCATCTGCAATTTGACATAAATGGCGAAGTTATCGAAAATCAAGCGAGGTAAGAGATTTTCATTTTTGTCCATGATGTCCAGGAAATTCATCTACTACTTCCTAGTGATATGATTGTAAACATGGGTCAAGAACACGGGCACAGTCAACGATTAACTAAGGGTACCTTCTTCATGTTAAGTGTTGCTGCAAAGTAAGGCACCAGCTCCGAAGAAAGCGCGAAAGCCCGTAGATTCGTGAATTATAAGGGATTCTAAAGTTTGTTACAAAAGGGGTTGTAGCAGATCGTGTTTTGAAAAAAAGTTCTCTCCAAGTGAGCTTAGATAAGCGGGAAATGCAAACTTTCCTATCGTCGTGGGCTAGCATTCCGAGATCGGTTGTTTGAATTTTCAACATATATGCTTCATTGTAAGTGGCGCGGCCTCTGCACGTCTACTATAACATAGCCACTTCTGCGTATGGTATATAGTCGAAACAATTTTAAACTCCTTATGCGACCTATCTCCGCCGTCTTTCGACCCGACAACGGCTCTTGTGCTATCCTTGGAGGCAAAGATTTATCTCAGTGGAAATATTATCGATTTTTTTATCGTGTTCTGTCTCTTCAGCTGTCACCAACTGGCTTACATCTATTTAACTCACAGGTTTCTCTTGTTATAATTGACCCATTGGCAACCGCACCTTTTGAGCATGTCTTTTGTGTGGGACCGAGCGCCCCTTTCGCGTTTTGTTGTTGTGGCCTGTCGGCGGGCCACACGGTCCCATAATCAACCTAATTTTTTTGAGCATTGTTTATTTTAGTTGGAGTCCATTAAAATGTCACAGAAGAGAAAATGTGTCTTTCACAAAACTTACGTGCTAAGTTGTAACATCCACTTTTACGTTGTTGAGTTCTACTGAATGTAGGGAGCTGCTCAACTCTCCTTCGAACCTTCGCGGCTAGCGGGGTCTAGATCCAGCAAAAAGTCTTCAAAATTGCATGACATGAGGGATGGATTTTGCCCTAAAACCTGTGATAAACCTTATAGAACCTTTACTTCCAATTGTTCACAAAATATTCACAAACTGGAATGATGATCCGAGAGAAAATCGCAGAAGATGCATTGGTTGCCTCATGGAACATTCGAAGAAGATGGTCGTGCTTATAAGTTGTAGTATATGGGACCCGTTTCTGTCAACTTATGTCCAAAGCGAACACCGCTATCAAAATCGAGTTTATTGCAATAGAACAATAAAACAATAAACGCGAACACAAAAAAGAAAAAGAAAACAATTGGCGTGTGGGCGAGGTGACCAGCGACGGGGGGTCTGGGGAGTCTGGCGAAGACGAGAAGGCGTCCCTCTAAGAGGAATCGCTTGTCTTTTATAGTGAGCTCCTGGCCCTCTTGACCTCCGGCGGGATACCCTCGCGGTCCCTCCCGCGTGATCTTGTGTTCCACATCCTCCCCCCTCGGGGAGCCGGCGCCCTCGTCCGCGCAACTTCGAGTGGATTCAACTGTGGCAAATTCGCTTCCTTTAGGCAGTTCCTAATGCACTCGCATAACGCTTTTGCGCTTCCCTTACCTAGATTTTTCTCGTAGTAGTTCAAGCACCCTTCCGGTGCGCCGGCCTCAGTAAATACTTTGCCACCCTCAATTCTGTGGCTGGCCGTACTCAAGAATTGGGGTGGTCTCGCTTTCTTTTGTAGTGCGCCTTCAATCAATTGCCCCAAATCCGTAAGTTGTCTCCAAGTAGCTTGATTTGACTCTATCAGAGGAGGAAATACGGACACTATGCGCCCCTCCCCCTTCTTCGAGCTACTGATGACATCTGCGGAGGGTTTGACATATCTGCGCTTCCGTGAACTGCGTGTCCAGTGGTCGAACGATTATCCACGTCGAACATGTATTTAGTTCATCTAGGACGTCCCTCAGTTTTCCGAATGACGTAGCAACCTTTGCTATAATTCCACGACGTGAGCCGCCCCGTTCCAGTAACAGGGCATTTTCTGGCGCCGCAGGCGCGGTCGGATCTTTCTTTTAGACCGCCGGTTTTTCTCTTGTTCATCCAAATCGCGTTTCAAACTTTTTAACGCTTCATCATAAGTCCTTTCAAAGCAGTAATCATCGATCCTCTCATGTTTCGATATTCCATCTGTTACACATAGAAATGCGGTCAAGTCTTTACAGCGATCATATGCCAGACGCAAAACTCTGTGCAGAGCTTCGGCATTCAGGCAAATTACTCCTTTTTTCCATGCCTTGATCTTTTCAGCCGTGTTCATGTCGTTCCTTATAAAAATGCTGGCGGCGACCCATGCACGCCAGAGTGGGCTTAATGGTTTCTTCGCGAATGCTCCCGGGAACATGATGTCCTTCAGGTCTCCGCAGCATGCCTCTTTCAGGCATCCGTCCTTGCATTCATATTGTAAGTGTCCTTTGCAATCTCCTAACTCGATTACTGCGCCTCTGCAAGAAGAACATTCCCGTTTATTCACCTTCGCTTTAGTCTTCCTGCCTCTTTTTCCTCTGTGAGTAATTGTGTCGATTCTCTCGTCAGATATTTGGTTTGGCACTATTCTTAGCATATGGTATTGAACCTTCATGGGTTCCGTGTTTTTCCCATTTGCGTAATAATTGCGGAGTTACCTCCCGCTTTGATCACCCGGAAGGGTCCAGCCCACTCGCATGCTAACTTGGAGTGCGAACTTAACGCCTTCTCTGGGTGATAGGAAATACACTTTATCTCCTAACTTCGGGATCCTTTCTCGGTCTACTTTATTTCTGTTGTCATACACCTTTCTCATGGTTTCCCTCACACGATCATTATACTCTCGCAATCTTTCGTGAGTTTCTGCTATGCGTTGTTTCAAACCTACTTTGAAATCGTCCAGCGCTTAATCTAACGCGTACCACGATATTTCGTTATTCGGTATAGTTCCTGACGGCAAGTTAGGGGCCATCCCAGTGAAAAATAGGGGCTCTCTCCTGTTGATCTATGAGAGGTCGTATTGTATACAAGCATACAGAAAGGCACTCTCTTGTCCCACGCGGTGGGTACCGCGGTTGACCTCCTCAGCATTGCGACAATGGTCCCATTAAACCTTTCTGTAATACCATTCTCGCGTGAACTGTAGCCTTTCGTCGTATAGTGCTGAATCTTAGAAACTTTCAACAACTCTTCCATTATCCCGTTTTCAGACTCGCCTCCTTTCTCAGACAATATTACCTCTGGCCATCTACAGCCATCAACTATCCAACGCTCAAAAATTACATTCGCTACCGTTTCGGCTGATTTGTCTGCTGCTGGATATGCCAGTGCAAATTTTGAGAAGTGATCAATCACTGTGACCGCGTATTTATTCCCACTTGAAGTCAGTCCTAATTCTAGCACGTTCACGCCTATCAATTCATACGGTTTCATGGTCACTATCGGCTTCAGTGGCGGAATTCCTAGTGGTCCTGGGTTATGGACAAAGCAGCGCTGCCACTCCTGTCCATCTACTTACGTCTTGCGTCATGGTTGGCCAAAACACTTCCTTGCGCATTTTCTTTAGCAGATTGAATGCGTTAAATGACGTGCTAATCTAATCGCGTGGGCTTCTTGAAAACCTCGTATCTTGCGCTTTTCGGACCACATATACTAAGGCGCCTTCTTCGGTATACATTTTAATGTTTCCGTTCTCCATAACAAAGTCTGCGACTCGCATCCAATTGTTCGTGCCACGCATTCTCATCGTCCTATTCAGGTCACCCCTCCTTAACGCATCCAGTACTAGCGAAAGATCTTCATCTTTCTCCAATTCATCCAACCATTTTGTCTTTTTACCTACCTCTAATTTATTCACGACCTCCTCATTCAATCCCTGCAAAGACTCTGTCCCCCTTCCATTTGTATGAATCTGCTCAGCGCGTCAGCTGCCACATTTGCCCGTCCTTTCACGTATTTGATCTCCACTTTATATCGTTGCGCTTCGAGCGACTATCTGAGTACTCGTGCAGAGACACTGCTCCGCTTAAACGAAGCAGTCAATGGTTGAAGGTCCGTCATGACAGTCGTGGGCACGCCATAAATAAACATATGGAATCGTTTTATTGCAAACATGGCAGCCAAGGCCTCCAGATCGGTCACGTGGTACCGTTTTTCAGCTTTACTTAAGGCCTTCGATGCAAAATAGATAGAGTGCAGATACTTATCCTCGTCCTTTTGCGCTAGGACTGCTCCCAGCCCTGTTGCTGATACGTCCATATGAATGACGAAGGGGTTTTCACCATCCCTTGCTTTTTCCATATCGGACTGCTTCAGTCCCGGTGCCGAACAAATGAACGGTCTCGCCTTTTCAAATGCCTCATCGCACTCTGACGTCCAATTCCATGCTCGCTTTGATGATGTCAATTCGAACAGTGGACTGGCTGTCATTGCGAAGTTCGAGCGTGAGAGAGTTGAGAAAGTTCCTAGGAATGGCAGCTTTTTATCGGAAGTTCAAGCAGAACTTAAACATAAACATAAACATGAAAGCTGCCATTCCTGGGAACGTTCTCAACTCTCTCACGTCTTTGAGGACAGGGTAATTCTTTACAACTTCAGTCTTGCGTGGATCTGTGTGGGTACCAGCTATGTCGACTACAAGACACTTTTGTTTCCATCAACAAGCACTTTTCTGCCTTCAGTCGAAGTCCTGCTTCTATCAACCTTGTAAACACAGCTCTCAAAAGCTCCAGATGCCTTTCTCTCGTTCTAGTACAAATCACCAGGCGGCCACGCACGCTATTGCGTGCACTGGGGCTCTAGCCATAAAACGGAGCCACATGAGCTTCTGATTTTCATTGTAGACCTTTATCATCTGAGCCTCTTCCTTGACACTGTAGCGGTCATCATTTTTTTGTCTCATGGAAAGCATGGAATTTTTTCGCTAGATCGCGAAAATCCGGACTGACCGGCAAGCAGTTCAAAAAGGGTGTTTGAAGTGTAATAAAAAGTTTGTCCACCTCGGTTGGAGTATTGGCATGATATACATAACACTTGATTTTGAAACATGTAATTCATCAAAGCAACACTTGTGTATACACATTGT